GACTTGTCCTATATTGGAATGGGCTGCCTCCACCCATCTTCAAGCAAAAGCTGGATGATCACTTGCTGGGGGTGCTATGGACCGAATTCTGGTTCAGGTATGGGTTAACTAGATGGCCTCCTAGTTCTCTTTTTGATTTGGAGATCCTGTGAAATTCTGTGTCTCAGAAGTTTGATGATTAGATGATGTGGTTCTTGACCACAATAACCCAGGAAGACCATTTCCTAAGGTGCTGAGACAGTCATGAACTGCATTAATAAAGAGAGAACTCACATTTATAAAACCATGGAGCCTTGAGGTTCTCTTTAGCAATTAAACATACCTTCTATATTCATTCCTATACTATTCTTTTGCTCAGAAACCTTTTCTTTATACAACACAAAAAAGATGAGCCCCAGCCTCAATTCACAACAAAATTAAGCACAGAAGATAGAATGAAGTGAATGACATAGAACAGAATTTAGAGCTGCAGATTAACCACAGAGAACAACTAGCCTAGCCTCCTTATATTTTAAAGGAGATTAAATGACTTGTACAATGACACAGTGTAGCAGAGTCAGGATTTGGACTTCCTTGCCCTGATTTCCAATCCAGTGCATTTTCCAACACAGCATTCTCTGTAGCAGCAAGGATTGGAATGGGGCATGATGGGGCAAAAAGGGGTGGAATGGATGAACTGGAGTTCCGGAGGGGGGAACTGAGACCTTGGTGGGGAACCCCATGTGGCCTTCTAGGTCCTCAAGTTTGGCCCTTTGACTAAATCCTAACTTCACAGAATAAATCCCCTTAATAGAAGGATTTGTTCTGTAAAACTTGGAGTCAGTCAAAAGACTGCACCCAAGGACCTAGAAGACCACGTGTAGCCTCGAGGCCACAGGTTCCCCACTCCTGGACTAGACTATTGGAAAAAGGCTTTGGATATCCAGTCCAATCCCTTCACTTCAAGGAGCCCAGTAAGCAGGTTGACCTCATTCAGTTGATTTGCTGGGCACTTGAAACTGGGCCAAGCTTGAGGCCAATTGTGACAGCAGAGAAGTCTGTCTTTGGCTTGTACCACCACCACTTCCTCATTTCAGTGCCTCCCGCCCCACCCCATCTCACCTCAAGTGCCTGGGTGCTCTCCTCTCCTTTTACTAGGAGGAAAGAGTCTGATAAATTTGTTCCCACCAAGATGCTGGGAATGAACATGCTCCTTCTTCCAGAGATGCTTTCACTTTTATAAGAGGTCAATAATTACTGCAAAGGAATAAACCACCATTGGACAAGTGAGAGGGGGTTGGAGACTTTGGGTCAGAGAGACACCTAATGTCCCCTGTCATATTACATAGACAATCTCCCACCGTACATGGGTCCCATCTAAAATATTTTTGTGTATATGGGACATTTGCATATTGAATCTCAGTGATTTCCATTCTCCCCCGAGGGCTTCCTTATCACCATCTCTAGTCATATCACAGATTCCATTGATTTGGAATTTGTTCTTAATTTCACTTCCCAAACTTGTCAGGGCCACTATGGGAGGTCTAGGGCAGTTGGAGATGTTCATCCTGGGAAAAAAAAGGATTTGGGGGAAAGTAAACTCTATGTTCAAATAACTGGAGAGATGTTGTGGAGAAGAAGGAGATTTGTTTTATTTGAATCCCAAGTAGAGAAATAGAAATAATGGATGGAAAGATTCCTGGACTGGGAATGAAGAGACCTGAGAGGGATGGTATGGTCTAGTGCAGGAGTGGGGAACCTGAAGCCTCAAGGCCTCATGTGGCCCTCTAGGTCCTCAAGTGTGGCCCTTTGACTGAATCCAAACCTCACAGAACACCCCTGGTCTAGTGAATAGGAAAATGGACCTCAAATCAGGAAGACCTAGGTTCAAATCTTACTTTAGATGCTTTTTAGCTGTGTGACCCTGGACAAGTCACTTTAACTCCTTTGTCTTCCAGTTTCCTCATCTGTAAAACAAGGAAATAACTCTAAATCTATGATCCTATGAGTTCCAGCTGCACTGCTGAATCACTGTGTGACTTTTAGCAAGTCATCCTCTTTGTGCCTGTTTCCTTATCTATAAAATAAGAGAACTGGACTAGATCTCTGGCGTTCTTTCAGTTATGACAGTCTACGATTCTAGTCTTGGATCATCCTCCTGAGTTCAAATCCAGCCTCAGACTCTTCCTAGCTGTGTGACCCTGGGCAAGTAGCTTAACTCTGTTTGCCCCAGTTTCCTCATCTGTAAAATGAGCCAGAGATGGAAAGGGCACATAGTAAATGATGCTTCAATTATTCAGGTGTTTACCATGTACTAGATATTGTTCCAGATTTTCGGGATAAAAAGATAAAATAAAAATCAGCCTTAATTTATTATTATCCACATTTTACAGATAAGGAAATTGAGGCAAACAGTAGTTTAAGTGGCTTGCCTAGGGTCACACAGTTAGTAAGTATCTGACAGTAGATTTGAATTCAAATGAAGAGATTTCAACCCAGGTCGCCCTGGCTCCAAGGCCAGCTCTCTGTTCATGACACAGCACAATGCATACAGCTAAGTAATGACAACGCATATTTAAGAAATTTAAAGAAGGACAAAACACTAGAAACTGGAGGAATCAGAAAAGGACTGAAGGTATCCCTTGAGCTGTGCTTTGGAGGAAGCTAGGGGCAGCTAGGTAGTACAGTGGTTACAGTGCCAGGCCTAGAGTCAGGAAGACCTGAGTTGAAATCCGGCCTCAGACACTTACTATCTGTGTGACCCTAGGAAAGTCACTTAATCTTATTTGCCTCAGTTTCCTCATCCATAAAATGAGCTGGAGAAGGAAATGGCAAACTACTCCAGTATCTTCGCCAAGAAAACCCTAAATGGGGTCAAGGAGAGTCAGAAATGAGTGAAAAAAATGACTGAACAACAAAGGATTCTAACAGGTAAAGAAGAAAGGAGAGAGTGTATTCCAGGCAAAAAGGACCATCTGTGTCTTTACACAGAAGATATGAAGATAAGAGATGGAATGTCCGGTAAGGGGAACAGCTAGTTGGGCTGTTTCATGGGGGCATAGAGTATAGGAAAAGGAGTGATATGAAACAATACTTTAATCCTTCCATAACCCACCTCCTGAGGTGGGTACAATGAAAGGACTCTCTGAGTCTTAAAAACTATTAGAGACACCTGGAATTAATTTTTTTTAAAAAAAAATGAAAAAAACCTTTACGCAAGTGTTTAACATGCACCCAGAAATGTGCTAAGTGTGTGCTGGGGGCAGTGGGGGCGAGGAAGCAAATACAGTTTGTGCCCTGAAGGAGTTTACATTCTAATGGGGAAAACAACACATATGAGGAAGTGGTAGTTACAGAAGTCTGAAATTATAGAAAGAGGCATGGTGAGTGGAGCTATAGGGGAATCATGGGCAGAAATAAACAGCAGGTCTAAACAACTGAAAAGGAAATTAATGTCCAGTTTCCAAGAAAGCCCAATAAAGGACAAAGCTACAGGTCTCTTTGCCTATATTCATGTCAAGGAGGTCCATTGTAGGAAAGGAACAGACTCCTAAGGCTAAGACAGAAACAATAACATAAGTCCAGAAAAAACTGTAATAGACAGGGAGGAACAAACATTTATTAAGTGCCTACTATGTGCCAGGCACTGTACTAAGCACTTTACAAATGCTATCTCATTTGATTCTCACAACAACCCTTGGAGATAGGTGCTATTATTATCCTTATTTTACAGTTGAGGAAACTGAGGCAGACAGAAATGAAGTGACTTGCCCAAGATCATATATCTAGTAAGCATCTGAGGTTGAATTTGAACTTAGGTCTTCATGGTTCACGGTTCAGGACACAACATAACTGTTTTTGACAGGTCAAAAGAAAGATCTTAGCTTGGTCCAACAGCCTGCCCTACAGTATTTAGTGGGATTCATCCAATTGGCACCACCTGCAGGGTTTTAAGCCAGAACCACCTGCCACCCCACATCTCTTGTCCCCAGTTTGATGATTCTAATGGATGACCACTGAAGGAGCTCACTTTCATACCATCCTTGTGTAACTGAGGTTTCTCTAACACTTGTGTCTTCCTTGCAGGAAAAGTGCATGAAAATGGAGATAGAAAGAGGTCATAAATCACAGATGTTTGAGCTGAGAGAGAGCTTAGAGGTCATTTAGTCGCACCCCCATTGTACAAATGAAGAAATTGAGGTTCAAAGAGGCTGTGACTTGACCAAAGGAACAGGTTAAAAGTGACAGGGGCAAGATTGAAACCCAAGTCCTGTGACTCCAAATCTAGCATTCTTTCCACTAGATCCCACTGCCTTCTCCAGATGGCTTGAATTCCCTGGGATTACAGATCTGGTAAGTCTCATCTACTCCAAAAACATTTATTAAGTGACTACTATGTGCCATGCACTGTGCTAAGTGCTGGGGATACAATTAATATATAGTCCCTGCCCTCAAGGAACTTACAATCTAATAAGAGGAGACAATGCACAAAAGGTGGCAGGAAAGCAAGGTTGGGGGAAGGGAGAGACACCAGGGAGCATCATACTGTGGGGAGTTGAAACCAGGCAGCAAAGTGGAGTGAGCTGAGTCCAGTTTCTGCCGTCTACAAAGAAAGGCTTTGGGGGAGTTTGGTACCCCACCCTCCAGCCCTCCAAAAAGAGGGGAAAGGAGGCTAAGGGAGATGGTGTCAATCAAGACTTGCATTGGCAGCAGATGGGGGTGAGAGTAGAAGTGATGAGCTAATCTTGGGAGAGGCATCGTGTTCCTTGGAATTGAAACCAGGCAAAGTAGCAGATGCAAAATGGAACTCGGGTCTTGTTGGTCTAAGAACATTGCTCTTTGAAATGCACCATGCCCCCTTCCACTTCGCAGTGGCTGCATTAGAGATGACGGTAGATAGGCATGTGCCCAAAGAAAGGCAAAGACAGTAGGCATCTCTGTAAGGACTGACATTTTTCTAATGATTCCCATCTCCAGATGTTCCCAGCATTAGTCTCCATAGGGCCAAACTCTGTCTCACCATGAATGCATGGACCTGTAACAGCTCAGATGGCTTCCCCACCTCCTTTTACCTAATGGGCATTCCCTCCCTCCCAAAGTCCCTCTTCCTCCCTGTCTTTTCTATCTTCCTCATCCTCTATCTCCTTGTCATCACTGGTAACTCCCTGATTCTGGTGGCTGTGGTGATTGACTCCAACCTTCACAAGCCCATGTACTTCTTCCTGACCAACCTCTCAGCACTGGACATCCTCTTTACCACAACCACCATCCCCAGGATGCTCTCTCTCTTCTTGCTAGGTGATAGAATCCTCTCCTTCCCAGCCTGCTTCCTGCAAATGTACTTTTTCCATGGCTTCTCCTGCTCTGAGGCCTTTATCCTGGTGATTATGGCCTATGACCGTTATGAAGCCATCTGTCACCCATTGCACTATACAGTCCACATGACCCCACAGGTCAATGCCAAGCTGGCAGCTGGTGCCTGGCTAGCTGCCCTCCTGCTGCCCATCCCAGCTGTAGTCCAGTCATCCCAGATGACCTTTGGCACCTTGGCCCAGGTCTTCCACTGCTTCTGTGACCACCTGGCAGTGGTGCAGGCCTCCTGCTCAGACCCCACCTTCCAGACATTCCTGGGTTTCTGTTGTGCCATGGCTGTTTCCTTCATGCCCCTGCTACTGGTGGTCCTATCCTATGCTCGAATTCTCATCTCCATCCTGAAGATCAGCTCAAAGGAAGGCCGGGCAAAGGCCTTCTCCACCTGCACATCCCATCTCCTTGTTGTTGGCACCTACTATACATCTATTGCCGTGGCCTATGTGGCCTACAGGGCTGACCTTCCTGTGGACTTCCACATCATGGGAAATGTGGTATATGCCATCCTCACACCTGTGGTGAACCCCCTCATCTACACTCTAAGGAACAAGGATGTCAAAGCAGCCATCACCAAATTCGTGAGCCATTGGAGCAGAGGTTACCATTGAAGTCCTTGATGATGATGACAATAACAATAACAACAACAATAATAGCAATAGCTAACATTAATATGGTACTTATTATGTGCCAAGCACCATGCTAAGTGCTTTACAATTATTATCTCATTTGCTCCTCACAACAACCCAGCAAGGTGGGTACTATTATTGTCCCCATTTTACCAATGAAGAAACTGAAGTAAAAAGAGATTAAGTGACTTGACCAGGGTAACACAGCTAGTAAGTGACTGAAGATGGATTTTAATTCAAGTCTTCCTGACTCCATGACCCATATCTATCTCCAGAGCCACCAAGATGGAAAAAATGGAAAAGCTGTGTATTCCAAGCAATTGTCAGTTCTCCCACTAGATATTATCAATTAGTTGAAAAGTTAAAGGGCTCATTCACCTATCCATTGGTTAGGTGTTTACATTTCTTGGACTCAGCTAAAAGAGATCTTAGAACCTAAGTCATCCTAGACCTTTATTTTACATTTTCCCAGATAAAGGAAGTAATGAGCTTCAAGGTCACAGAAGCTGTAAGGAGCAGAACTAGGACTAGGATTCAGATCCTCTGACTCCAAATTCAGCATTTTATCACCCAAGCCACATGCAATGATCAGTCAACCAGTATAATGAATAGTTGTTTATGCCCACTTTCCCAGTGCTCTTAGTGATTTTCTCATTCCCCACAGTTACTCAATGCAATCTCTGTTCCAGCCAAATTGGTCTACTTTGTCCTTTGAATGTATCATGGGCCCCCAGCCTCCGAGACTTTGCTTATAATGATTCCTATGGCCCAAATATCTTCTTTCCCCTCCCCTCACTTATCCAGCTTTTAAAGCTGCTTCCAGAAAGCCTTCCATGACATCTTTATCAGTAAAGCGCTTCAAATAGTACTTTGTTTCCCCCGAGTTTATGTGCTTATGTTATACTGTATACTATATTTATCTTATTTATTATTATCTTATCTTATTTATGTCTTGTCCCTCTACTAGACTCTCAACCCAAAGAGGGCAGGGCCTATGCACTTATATAAATGCTAGCCATTGTTATTGTTATCATTATTCAAAAACTTCTGCACAAACAGAATCAGTACAGGGAACTTAAGCCAAAATTAGGAGAAAAGAAGGAAACCAGGAGAAAATGTATTTCAAATTTCCCTGATAGAGGTCTTAATTCTTAAATATATAGGTAACAGAGCATAATTTATAAGAATAAGAGCCATTTCCCAACTGACAAATGGTCAAAGTATATGAGCAAGCAGTTTTCAAAGGAAGAAATCAAAGCTATCTATACTCATATGAAAAATGTTCTAAATGACTAATAATTAGAGAAATGCAAATTAAAACAAATCTGAGGTATCACCTCATACACATCAGATTGGCTAAGATGATAGAAAAGGAAAATTATAAATGCTAAAGGGAATGTAGGAAAATAGTCATATTAATGAACTGTTGGTACAGCTATGAATTAATCCAACCATTCTGGAGAACAATTTTGAATTCTTTCTAAAAAGTTGAAAAACTATGCATACTATTTGACTCAGCAATACAACTACTAGGTCTATACACACCAAAGAGATCAAAGAAAAAGGAACAGGATCCATACATACAAAAATATTTATAATACCTCTTGGTATTTGGAATATGAAATGTAAGAAGAATGTCAGAATTAGAAAGGACTTTAGAACATAAGTTGTTAGAGCTAGAAGGGAACTTAAAAATTATTCAGTTTTTAATAGTGCTTTAAAGTTTTCAAAGTACTTTCTTCAGAACAATTCTATGACATAAGCAATATGCTCTAAGTATAATTATTCTTATTTTATCAACAAGGAAAGTGAAGTTCTGGTTGTTTTAATGACTTGTCCAGTGACACAAACTAATAAATGTCTGAAGCAGGATTAAAACTCATATCTCCTATTTTCAAAGCCAGCACTCAGCTAAAGAAAAGATCTTAACATGGAAAGTTATAGCTAGAAGGGATACAAAGCATCAAATATTAAAATTGGAGGGGTCTTAGAATTCATCTAATCCAAACCTATCTTTTACAAATGGGTAAACTGAGTCTCAGAGGAAGTAAAATGACTGCTGAAGGGAGTTCCTCTGCACACCAATTATAGAATTGGAATTTGGGGGGTTTTTTGTTTGTTTGTTTTTTTAGGCAATTGGGGTTAAGTGACTTGTCCAGGGTCACACAGCTAGTAAATGTCAAGTGTCTGATCTGAGGCCAGATTTGAACTCAGGTCCTCCTGACTTCAGGGCTGGTGCTCTATCCACTGTGCCACCTAGCTGCCCCCTATAGAGTTGGAATTTGAATGGAGGACTCCTGACTACCAGTCCAGGGTTCCTTGAGCCATATCTCACTGCTCCTTTGCTTCCATATACAATGGAAATGACACATAAAGAGACACCTAGATACAGAGTAAGTGTATCCTAATCACTTGTCTCTATGCCTTTGCACTGGTCATCCCACATTCCTGAAATACACACCCTCTATAACTCATAGTCTCTTAAATTCTTCATACAGTCTCCCTCTTACATTAAAAGGCAGCTCAAACACCATCTTCTGCATAAAGCCTTTTTTGATTTCTTTCCCCGCCATTGCTATCGCCCCCCCAAATTGTATTGTATTTAACTTCTTTGTATGTATTTACCGACTACATTTATGCTGCAGATGTGTGTATATGTGTACTTGTGGCTCTTCCATTACGCCACTGCAAGTAGGGATTGTTTCATTCTTTGTTCTTGGTGTATCCCCACTGACTAGTGCAGTGTCCAGCATATAGTAGGAACTTAATATTTATTTATTGAATGACTGTGAAACATGGGGTCCTAGATGTGGAGAATTGACAACAGCTACCTCAAGAATAAATTTGTTGCCAACACCTCTAACCAACCTTTAATTTTTAAACGATTATCCTGATGTTGGAGGGAACGGCTTAAAATGTAGTTGTGACATAATGAATTTATATATTTCCTACATAAGTAAGGAAAGTCATTAGCGTAAAAGGCGCTGCAAGCTCCAAATTATGTGAGTAGCCTAGAGACCACTGCATTCCATGACTCAGCTGGCTCTGTCAGGATCATAAGAATCCAGAATTTGGAAACAAGATTACCACAGAAGCAAAAGGTTGCTAGCCACAGTACTAACATAGCTTTTGGCATAAAGACTATGCATGCCAGATTTTGCCTGGAGTTCTACACCACTGAGGGGAACCAAGGTGTTATCAGCGGGTTCAGGAGTAGGAGAGTCAAATTGTGGCTACAGAGATGAGTATCAGGAGTTCCACCCACAAATTTTTTTTTTACAGTAATTGTCTCTGATACCGGCCTCATTTCTCAAATATATAAAGAACGGAGTCAAATTTATAACAATACAAGTCATTTCCCAGTTGATAAATGATCAAAGAATATGAACAGGTAGTTTTCAAAGGAAGAAATCAAAGGAATCAATAGTCACATGAAAAAAAGGTCTAACTCACCATTGATTAGAGAAACACAAATTAAAACAGCTTTGAGGTACCACCTCACACCTAATCAGATTGGTGAGCATTACAGAAAAAGAAAATGATAAATGTTGCAGGGGATGTGGGGAAATTGGGACACTAACACACTGCTGGTGGACTTGTGAACTGATCCAACCATTGTGGAGAGTAATTTGGAACTGTACCCGAAGGGCTATAAAACTGTGCATACCCTTTGATTCAGTAATACCACTACTAGGTCTGTATCCCACAGAAATTTCAAAAAAGGAAGGGAGGACCTATTTGTATAAAAATATTTATAACAAGTCTTTCTGTGGTGGCAAAGAATTGGAAATTGAGAGGATGTCCATCAATTGGGTAATGGTTGAACATGTTGTGGCATATGATTGTGACAGAATACTACTGTGATATCAGAAATTGTGAAGGGACTAGTTTTAAAAAAACCTAGAAAGACTTACATGAACTGATACAAATGAGCAGAACCAGGAGAACACTGTACATAGTAACAACAATATAGTACAATGAACAAATAAATGACTTAGCTATTCTCAGCAATACAATGATCCAAGACAGTTCCAAAAGACTCAAGATGAAAAATGCTATCCACCTCCAGAGAAAGAACTATTGGAGTCTGAATGCAGATCAAAGCATACTATTTTTCATTTTTTAAATTTTGTCATTTTTTTTGGTCTGTGTTTTCTTTCACAACATGACAAATATGGAAATGTTTTTGCATGATTCACATGTATAACCTATATCAAATTGCTTACTGTCTCAGGAAGGGGAAAAGTGAGTGAGGAAGGGAAAAAAATTGGAACTCAAAATTTAAAAAAATTCATTTTTACATGTAATTGGAATATATATATATTAATAAAAGGAGTCCCACTCAAATCCAGTGGAACAGGAGTGTATATAGTCTGGCTTCGAACTCCCTTCAGAAGTGGTATACCTGGGTCAGACAAGCCCTTTGTTTGAGTAAGAATAGAAGATTTGATATAACGGAAATATGGATGAGAGGATAAAGCTCTGGGAAGTTTCCAATCTCTTGGGTGTGGTGGTTCAGGTTTTTCCCTTCCTGAATTTCCTAGTATTGGTTATTGTTTTTGGCTCTAGCTGTTACACCTCTGAGAAAGTCAGTCCAGACCTTGTGTGGCATGTCTTTATTTCCATGGAAATCATATGTGATCCATAGTCACATATCCTTGGGAGCCAATACACAAAATACTTCAAGGTGTGATGAGAAATGACAATATGTCCTTCAAATAAGGTCTCCCGGAATTTAGAAACAAAGTTCCCACATAAGCAAGAAGTTATTAGCCACAGTGCTGACATATCTATTCTTTCATAATTTAACTTAATCTTCCACTAGTGGGGAAGTTTGTTCAGTGGTGTACATCCTCATGAGGGCAAACAGTTGAATCCTGGAATAGACTGTTATCCAGGATGCTGACTTATTTACTTATACAGATTTTAAGTATGGTCATTAGGATTGGAATCCAAGTCTCCTGACCTCAAATCCAGAGCTC